ACACACACACACACACACACACACACTCACACACACATACACACACATACACACACGCACACACACACTCACACACACTCACACACACACACATACACACACACACACACACATACATACACACCTCCGTCACGACCGTAGACTCGTACTGGTTCCTGTCGAAGTCTCTGGAGGAGCACTTGACTGTCCTGACCTCCTCGCCATCCTCAAAGGAAAACTCAAGACTCGAGGAAGCCACTTCGAAGCCCAACTCAGCCGCTAAGGTATAATTGTAGTCGTACATGGCGCAACTACTGCGCTGATTACTGCTATTCCTAGTTCAGAGATAGCAATTAAGATGTTATTAAACTGAAGGCAAGTTACAGAGAATGCTTGATAAGGTATGCAGGCTACTGAAACTCAAGATTCCTCTAATCTAGAATGTTATTCCTGTCGCCTTAAGAAATAACGACGTCTCACTATCTTGACGCGATGCCAAGAAAGAATGACTCAGGAACACTTTTCTTACCCATTGGGAATAGCTAGACTTAAGATCTGGTCTTGAGTCCAGTTGGCATCCACCAGAGGGGGTACGTGGCACCAGTAGTCCGGAGTGGCACCCAAGAACTGGTAATTAATTGTCTGAAGTGGGTTGATAAATATTCCTGAAATAAATACACGAATAATTTGAGTTAGTGTTTTCATATCATTTCTATGGAAGTTATTTACCATGGATTGCTGATTTAATTTCAGTAACGATGGTACTTGTTACAGGGTGATATCATGCATAAGAAGTGTATAACTTATGATTGACATGAAACTTATGATTGACATGAAACAGCCTTGAACCCTAATTCCAGTGTAAAAAAATACTCTTTTAAGCATGACAAAGAGGATAGACACAGAATATTTTAATAGCTACATTGAAATAAGCTGAATACAAGCATACAACTAAATTTACTTCAGGAAGTGAAGACAATGAAATAATTGGATAATAAATTAGTCTATAACTACTAAGAGCTCAAGCCGTTTGGACGCTATTAACACTGAAATGCTGATGACCAATAAAGATAAAATCCGTGCTCGTCCGTCACTTCCTGGTATTGCTAAATCGAGTTAATTAGAGCATCTCATTTCTCTAATACCACATCGGTTAATTAATAAAGCTGAAGAGGAAAATCATAAACACATGTATATGTTATGGTCACGGTGGAATTGCCCATTTGCAATTTCCCGGTCAGTTTGCAAAGAAGCCACGGTTACGTAAAAATCGCACCATTTACGTAATACATAGAAAAAAAACACAGACGAGATAAGACACTGGAGAATAAAACGAAGGAAGGCAAGGATCAGAAATTCGAAGTCGGCCCCACCGAAGGAGATCAAGACGAGGATTAGGAGCGTCCTTATGTCCTTTGATCCAGTGAGGTCGTTTAGGTCGTCGTAGGTCGTGATGGTGACTGTGTCCTCGCCGCTCTCCTTCGCTTCTGCTTTGTCGTCGCTCATTGTGGCCCCTGTTCTTATGTTGTACATGGAAGAGAAGGCGATGTGTGAAGAGTATGTACATGAGCTTTCTCAGTTTTCTTTCTCCGTCGGTCTTTGTCTATTTTTTTTATGTAAACAAAGTTCAGTATACAATTTAATTTTTTAAACGCACACGCACACACACACACACACACACGGACGCGGACACACACTCATGCATGCACGCTCACACATTCATACGCACAAGCACTCCCCCCCCCCCCCCCGCCCCCACCACCTTACATGCAGACGGAAACACAATATCAACACGTCATACACCACCCGTGTCTCCCTTTCAATTCCATACCCTCAAAATGAAAGAGACAGAGATTTTTTTTTTAATAAATAAAATAAAATAAAAATTCTACATACAAAATAAAAATAATAATGTAAAAAAAATACATTCAGAAATTAAATAAACGTACGACCCCATCTTTCAACCGCTGTAATAGGGATTTTCGATCGTACAACCAAAGTGAAAGTGCCATTCATGGGGACAACAGCACATGGCCAATTACCTCGTCCACTGCAATGGAGATACTGACTGGCTGATGCAGTGTCGCACTAGGGGTTACTATATGACGTAAACAAACGAGATTTTTTTAGAATGAACTCCATTTTTATGACAACCCATAAAAAGCAATACGTGATAGTGATTAAAAAAAGTTGGACCAGACTATCTAATGTTGCCTGATTCATGTTGTATGTTCATTTTACAGACTAACAACAACCGTTAACCTCGTTTATGACTGAGGGAATGTATAAACTAATTTGCCTGCACTTGATGTAAACACTACAATTTTATAAGACTCACTGTTTTTTTTTTTACCTCCCCTCCCCCTCCTCCTGAGATTTTTTTTTCATGAGGCTGGTTATTGACACACACACACACATATATATATATAGGTATAGGTATATGTATCTATGTATGTATGTATCTATATATATATATCGTATCTGATTTTTCTCCCTTATTTTGTTTTATAGAAGTGTAATATATCGTGAAACGATTTGCTTCTGTATTTGCATGACCATGTCTATAAAAACAAGGGTAGGTTAGCGTACGTGTGGGTTACCAGTGCAACTCTGCATGTTACTTCGAGTGTGCGTAAAATGTAAAAATACTGATGGCAATACCTAAACACTGAAAATATAAATCTACCATGTTAGCGTTGTTTGTTTACTGTAATAATGTCTAAAAAAAAAAATATATAGATAATCTTAATTGTGATTACCATCAGTAGTTATTCACATACCTGTGTGCTATACTCTTAACGAATAAATAGACTCAAACCATCAAGCTATTACTGCCCTGTTCACCAATGTATAAGAGGTTCAACTAAGTCTCTTTACGTCTGGTGGCAGCGGTAGGATAGCTTGATGGTTTGACTCTATTTATTCGTTAAGAGTATAGCCCACAGGTATATGAACACACACGTGACAATCTTGGGTTAAACGCGCGGTCATAGCCCAGTGGGCGGAATTGACCGCCCGACGCCCTCGCGCTAAAGTGATCAGACGTGACCCCTACAGGCGCTGGCGACTGACTGTTTGACCAGGGTCCTCCTTGAGTATAAGTAGCGATGCCCACCGGAAAGCAGGAACCGTGGGGGGAGCGAGGTGAGGTCACCTGCTTTCACACAGTATAGACAGCTGTTTTCACCCGGTATAGTCTCACCTGCAATATGCTATCACAGTGGGTTTATACCTACTATGATAATCCCTAGCAGGCAAAAAAAGAACAAAATAGAAATAAAAGATGTCCCCTCCAATACAATCTGGCTCCAGTTAAAATAAAAAGAAAGAAAATAAACCACACATTCCAACCAGTTGTGCCAAAGAAAACACTACGCAAGGGATATCGCCCCCCTACGTTTTACCTATGTCTTCCTTCAATTTCTAGGTAGCTAGCTAAGCTACCCTCACCTTCCCCTTCCAATCCTTGCACTAAGGATTCCTCCGCCTCCTCACCCCCTTTAGTTCATCAGACTACTCCGGCAGCGGGATTTTTTAATATATATATGATTGTGTGCGCGCGCGCGTGTTATATATATATATATATATTTATATATATATATATATATATATATATATATATATATGTATGTATGTATATGTATAAATGTATATATATGTATGCATATGTATATGTATATATACATACATATATATACACACATATATGCATACATACTTACATTGCATACATACATACATACACACACACACACACACACATACATATACACATATATACATCTGTGTGTGTGTGTGTGTCTTTCTGTATATATATATATACATTTATCTATCTGTCGATCTATCTATCTATCTATATACACACATACATGCATGTATGTTTGTGTGTGTGTGTGTGTGTATGTACATACATATCTTTCCTCAGTAACACGACGTGCACATGGCATAGAGGTTCTAGTTATCCACAGGTGAGTCTTGCCTCCTCTCTCAGTACAGCGTTAATCCTGATTCAGGAACTTTTTGGGTATGGTTGTAAACATACTGTGATTGTAAATACCCACACTCTGATAAACACCTAACAACAGAAGGAGATATACTGCCAGGTGGCCTGTAGAGACAGATAGAGATAGACATAAATATATAGACAAATGTTTCAATGGGTAAACTATGACCGTGAAACGAGGGGTTTGCCTTCACTCAAAGGCTATTAGCCATTATTTTTATATAAGGTCTAGAAGGATACAAACACAAAATATGCCTCCACACACATATACAAATATGTATGTACTACGTATGTGTGTGTGTTCATATGTGCATTCTACTGTCCCTTTTTAATGAGGATGGAGATTGTGATAAACATTAAATCTATTACAATCACTCTCATTATTGTCATTTAAGTTATACTAAAACTAATCATTATTATAATCATAATCATTATTATCATCATCACATTTTAAAATCCTTATCATCGTAAAGATGATGATTATGATGTTAATGATTATGATAATAATAACAACAACAATAATAATTATGCTATCATTATTTTAATTTTCATGGTATTCCTATTGTCAAGGAGACTATTATCCCTATGGTCTTCATTACTGTTTACGAGTTGTTACGATTATCATTACTGTTGCTCTTATTTTCCCCAAATACTATGAGTCATTCTCATCTCCTTCTTTAACTCTCTCACAACAATAAAACCATAATGCAAAAACAAAGTACCCTCGGCATTCTTATTATCTTATAACATAAATTCCTCTTACCCTCCATAAAGGAACCAGATATATACCAGTGTAAGTGCTACGGTACAGCTACAGATACAACCACAGTGTAGAAAAAAGTTGACTTACTCAAAAACAGCGTGAGAATAGAGTAATAATATCAAAGCATGTTCAGTATCCATGCTTTCATTTTACGTATGTCACACAACAAGAAGTTAACCACAATGTATATAATATATATATATATATATATATATATATATATATATATATATATATATATATATATGTATGTATGTATGTATATATATATATATATATATATATATATATATATATATATATATATATATATATATATATATTATTACATGGCTGCCTATCGACCATCGACCTGCGTATGACCGTCAACGAATTGCATGACCTGACACCGCTTTACTCCGATTGCGACAGACTAATGGGATTCGGAATACGTGGACGAGACACCGGGGATTCATTCGGGTTCGGGTTTCGGTCTGGTCGACTCAGAATGGGTTGTATGGGGAGTAAGGACGAGGGAGGAGGAGAACCACATAAAACGGACTTGTGGAAGGACGTGACTCTGACTGGTCGGTGGTCGGAGGAGCCGGGTTGTGGTTACGATAATTTACCTTTTATGTTTGTAAGTTGACCTTATTTGTCATCCTGCATTACAGTATAGGTTTATATCAATATGAATATTATTTCTGGTGTTATGTGATTTATATAAGTTTGCGGATGAGGTGATTTTCGTACATTTTGTTATCCGTTGATTGGTGTAAATACAAATGATTTATAAATTGGCTTTATACTCCCTACCTTTGCATACCTACATTATATTACTCTAAAACTGGCAGTGCTATAGAAACGAAAGCTAAAAGGAAATAATAATTCTCTATAATAAAGATGAATATAATACGGAAAATAGACAAGCCGAGTATATTGATAAGTGATTGTTAATTAGCAAATATAACAAGGCTAGAACAGCGGAGCTAGCATATAACTTTATGATTTGATTACCTTAATGAATAACAGAGCTAAGATAGAACAAGCACAAATTGATGTAATTAACACTAACGAAGTGATTGCAGCAGTATTAACACATAAGAACGTATGCACATCCAAGTGGACTGTGAACATAGAATTAAAAGAAACAAAAGAATATTTAAAAGTTGTATGACGCTTGACACCAAATTATATGAACTTAGATTAGGTTCTGTTATGCGCCCTGTTCTGCAACAACCGGTGTCATTATTAATGAACGAAAGCTACGTAATAATATATATAATACATATATAAATTATATATATATATATATATTAACGAAAGCTAAAAGAATAATAATTCTCTATAATAAAGATGAATATAATACGGAAAATAGACAAGCCGAGTATATTGATAAGTGATTGTTAATTAGCAAATATAACAAGGCTAGAACAGCGGAGCTAGCATATAACTTTATGATTTGATTACCTTAATGAATAACAGAGCTAAGATAGAACAAGCACAAATTGATGTAATTAACACTAACGAAGTGATTGCAGCAGTATTAACACATAAGAACGTATGCACATCCAAGTGGACTGTGAACATAGAATTAAAAGAAACAAAAGAATATTTAAAAGTTGTATGACGCTTGACACCAAATTATATGAACTTAGATTAGGTTCTGTTATGCGCCCTGTTCTGCAACAACCGGTGTCATTATTAATGAACGAAAGCTACGTAATAATATATATAATACATATATAAATTATATATATA